AGTAAAATTGCTTTAGAATTGCTAAAATTGCTAAAAAAAATATATAATAAAATAAAAATAAAAAACACTTTAGAATACTGTTCAGTTTTTTTTTTTTTTTTTGGAAAGATTTTTCCAAAAATCCGTGTATTTAGCATAGCAGACAAATTAGGTTAAATAGAAATCTCACTGGAATCTGCAAAAAATATAGGCCTACATAAAAAAATACACGTGCTCTCTTGTGAGTGTTTTCTTGAATAAAGCACATATTAGGTTTGCTTTGGGTCATTGACTAAATTTCAAGTGTCTTGGTTACACAATAAACAATGACAAATTCAGTGGCATAAAAATACAGAGATAGCTACAAAACAGAAGACTAAATTACTTTTGCATTATTGCACAAAAAGGGAATTTCAATATTTCAAAGCAGTCATCCGATTACCGATTTCTATAAATACTTCTCTAAGTTATTTAGAACCTGAGAATTGAGTCTTCAGTATTATTTTGCAATGAAAATAATCAAATTTGGATTTTTAACAAAAAGCTTTAATACTCACTCGAAAACATTTCTAAGCAGTTACACAGTCTAGTTCACTAGAGGTCAGCATTACACCGCTCATTCCATTGCTAAATAAGAATCAATGGCAAGACAGTGTTTCTAGTTTTTTATTATTTTTTTTACAAACTAAGTTAGTCATAGGAAGACTTGCTCAAGTCTGTTATAATGTGAATGACAGAGTTTATTTATGCATTTGAGCTTACCAAGAGGAAGAACAACATTGCCTTGTTGTCACCGTTATTTCACAAGCTCATGGGCAGTCCTGACATCTCGGAGTCCAGTTTTTCTTTTTCTTTTTTTTTTCGGTTTTGTTCTCAATTCCCTCCCCTCAGCAGGGTTCTTATACAAAATATTATTCCTGATAAATAAGAGACTGAAGCTCAGTGGCTACACCGGAGAAACTCCATCTGTAACAATAGATAGGGAGACTTGTTGCGTACTTCCTCAAATGACTCCCACCCAGGGGAAAGAAAAACAGAAGGGAGAACTTTTTACTTAACATCTTTTGATTATGCAACGAAAATGCACTTCTTCCTCTCATATGTCTTTAAGTTAGTCTTTAAGTGCTATTTTTAGGCATGATAATATTAATAATTCATTACATTTGTATATCTATCTATCTATCTATCTATCTAGATCTAAATAATAAATTGATAATAATATAATTATTTAATAATAAATAATAAATTGAATGCAATGTAAGTCACTTTGAATATAATAAACTTCCTAATATATATATATCAACTTAATTAGATTACTTTATTAACACTGCAACACTTTTGGTGCGTGATGCAGTTCATTTTTTAAGACTCTACTAATATGATATTTACTGTAATCCTATATTCAAAAGGATTAATGATTTTAACCCTAATCTAAATCCTTCAGTTTAAAGTCCAACACAAGAAGCACTTTCATTTTGACTTACTATTGGACCCTCGCAGTGGATCAAGGCCACCAAGACAGATATACAAAGTTGTAGCAGAAGTGGGATTTATGCCTATTGGACAGGGGCTTTCGGTGCTTTGTTGTCCACAAGCTCCGAGTGAATGCTTTGTAAAGGGCTCATTATCTGCTTTTTTTTCTCCAGATTTTTTGAGGGCAGACAGGACACGTCTCTAATTGGAGCAATTGAAAATTAGGGTACAGCACTACTCATAGGGAACACAAGGCTCCTCACCAATACTGTTGGAATGGGCCTCTCCATTAGCATGAGTCATAAATGCTCCATCATTGTTAGTCTAAAGTTTCCATTTAATCCACAAGAAGGTGCTCTTTCATTCAGTGCCATGAGCCTCAATGACAGTGTCAGTCCAGATAATGAAAATGACCGAGATGAGGACACAAAGAGATGGTGGTGTGGACGCTTGCTTGATCAGATTGGTCAAGCCTGGCTTAAACAATGACTGTCTCCATTAGAAATTTGTGAACTGACTGACCCAAAACCAGTGCATGTGTCAATCCATTTTAAATTCACAATTCAATTCAAATTGATTTGTATAATGCTTTTCACCATACATATTGTTTCAAAGCAGCTTTACAAAAAAAGTGCATTTCAGAAATGTACATAGAAAAAATACAGTTAGTTAATCAAGTATTAATTTAGGGCCTATAACATATCGCCGGCGTTGAGTCGTCTCTTCACAGGTCTTCACAGTCTCCATGAGAGGCTGGATACAAACTGGAGCTGACGAACGCCATTTACCTCCCGAGATAACAGCAGAAAAGCAGATGGGAAATAATTAGTAAAGCTGCTGTTCATAAAATCAATGCATTCGATCTGATTCAACAGTAGTATAAAAGGTAAGCATTATGGGAATGCTTGGCTAAAGAGATCGTCTTTAATCTAGTTTTAAACTGGGACGGCGAGTCTGAGCCTCGAACAATATCGGGAAGACTATTCCTGTGTTTAGGAGCAAAATGTGAGAACACCCTCCCTCCTTTAGTGGACTTAGATCATTTGCAGATGGGCTAACATATTAATCTTAATGCCAATGCTACGATGAACAGACAGCAAGAGTTTTGATCATCATGTCAAACCACTGCCACTGTACAAACTGGATCTGGGAACAGTGCTGTATAATAACCATATTCTTTCGCCAATGTTAGTGATAATGCTATGAATGGGCCCACTGTATATTGCTCTTACAGTCAGAATTTGTAGCATGCATTCAGTCAATGCCTCAAAATGCTAACCCGCACTTTTCAGAGAGGCCAGCTCTCTGAATCGATATGCACCAATAGGAGATGCTGGCATTATGGCCTTACTCAACAGGCTGCCCACTGCTGTCTAAAGAGCCATGTCCACTTTGTGAGAGAAATCTCCAAATTCTCCATGGGGTAAATGAGAGGCCTGTCATAGAGGCATCCAAAACAGAGCTAAGCAACATAGACATTGCACCTGAACAAATAAGTCAGCAGCAGTAATAAAGTCTTACTCAAGGTTGTCAGGGTATCCTACATCAGACAGATTTGTAATCCTTGATGGCGGCATGAGCAGAAAAATATATAAAGAATTAAATAAAGAAAATAAACCAAACTTCAGTCAAAATTATTAAAAAAAAAATAAAAATGAATGACTTCCGGTCGTTTCGGAGCCGTATCGGAGTTGGTCGTTTGTTGTTCATACAGTTCTTGCCTTTTATATGAAATATAAATAACTAAATGGCTTTAAGTCCAAACAATAACATATATTTGACGTATATTAAATATATATTTATATAGCTATAATATAATCAGCCTGACTACACTACACAATAACAAAAGTCATTTTAGATGGTCCGGTAGAATTAACGTAAGGTAACAATTACAGTGTCATGACATTTTCCTGTGAAGGATGAGTTTAAGGACACAATGGTGTAATCCTCCGGTCATGTGACCTCTTGAAGCTGAAACATGCCCGGTGCGGTGCACCTCTCTCTCTGACTCAACTTCGCATGACTGGAAATTCACTCAGTACAGTTTTAATGGCACTGTTTTGACTTAAAGCAACTTCATTTAGTTATTTAAGACAATAAAGTTATAAATCTGTTTATGTTACCAGAGGACACACATTTCGAGCCTTTTTAATAGAGAGTAACTTTTTATTATAATGTATTTGTTTTTTAAATCAAACAATATTTAGTATGACTTTGGTAAACGCACGGCATTATAAAATTTGAACCTTTTTTTATAGGTTTTGGCAATAGTTCTCTGTTTGCAGTATTCACTTTGTACATATGAATGGATGACCTTTTCATTTCATCCTTCTCAGATTGCTGTCAAGTGAGAGGTGTTGGCGATTATAGCCATGCAAACAACAATGCTTTCATTGATAAGTATCCTATTCAGAAATAGACCAGAGATAAGTGTGTAGTGGACTGCAGGCAGTAGCCTATATCTGAATGAAAACTCTCATCTGCTCAGTGTTGTGTGGACTTTCCGCGGTATTATATGAATCTTAGAATTACCCCTAATTGTAAACAATCAACCAAGACAAACTGCTTACAATTTACAAAAGAAAATGACATTTGAGGAAATAAATAGCCATGGCAACATATCTTTGATATACTGAACAATACCAACCTACACCCTCCAAACCCACCCTGTCTTTGATCCATCATTTGTCTGTTATTGTTTATAATGCCTATCAAAGAGCATTTATGTAATCCTGCAGAACCAAAGTCAACAGAAACATTCCTTTCTTTTTATTGAAAAATTCTTTCTTATGAAATGAAGCCTATAAAAGAGAAGAGTCCTGCCCCCCTCCATTTGCATACAATTGTGCCGGACTCTTTCCTACTGTGATGAACAAAACCCAAGGATATTGTATCAGAATAAAATAACAATGACAAATGTTATTTTATTCTGATAGGCAGGTAGTGGATAATCTGCAGCACTACCTTCCAGATTATCAAATCTATCCATGACTATTATTTTTATTATTTTATATTATTATACAAAGCTGAATCTTTCTTTCTGACAAAAAGTCAGATGTAATAGCAGTGCCAGATATTTTCATTGGCCTATTTTAAACTAAGATATATGCATTGATCTTTATGATCAGTAGTCATCCATGATACCTTATAAAAAGAATTATATTTAAAAACTCAGCCTCTATTCCTTGCATGTATTACGACAAAACATGACTCGGACATGCGTACAACTATATATATATATAATTTTTTTTGTCTTAGACGCATATTATTTATGTGTGTTTTTTTTTTTTTTTTTTTTTTTTTTTTAAACATGGATATCAAATCTGGTTAAGGCATGTGTGATCATTCTGGTACAACTTTAGAAACCAAGGAATGTCTCTCAGGGTTGTCCAGATTACAACGAAAAGTCGACGCATTTTCGTGCAGCCAATCAGGGAGCCCATTTCCTTACATGCCTGTGTACACACGGCCACATGCAGAGCCATGTATTCAGACTCTGGCCACATGGTTAAAGGTAACCAAGCAACAGCCAATCAGAACCTGTGTTTGAGAATTTATATTAAGCGCTTTACACACTGATGGCAGTTATCTGAAAACACCTGACAGACTAAATGACTAAGATCGACTAATATATGCTTCTTTCAAAATGATAAATAGGCTGATACATTGTGGATATTAAATTATGATATTTTCGCTTTTTTTCCACCACAACGAAAAGAAGAAAATTATCTATTCTATAACTTTTTAAAAAACTTTTTAAACCTGCCACCATGGAGTCTAATAAAAAGGTAAGGTAATATTGCCTGCCTAATAACCTTAGTGTAGTAATAATTAACTGTAGTCATACTTTTATTTATAAAGGCGATGCATTCCCTAATGCTGTCATCTAGCCGACCGTTTCAAAAGTTTGCCAGTAAAGCCCGATGGCTATAACTGGGAGAGAGTTGTAACTGTTTCAGTAAATATTTAAATAGAACTAACGTTACCAACTTTGCAAAACTAGATTTTATCTAAACTCAAATTTTAGAGAGAATCGAGATGAATAAAATGAAAGCACACTTTAATAAAACCTTTAGCTTATTACCAATGTGTTTTTTTATTGATGTTTATCTACCTCGAAAAATAGTAAAACTGTGTAAAATAGTCAAATTGATTGGATTTTGCATAGTTACACTGAGCCATGTTACTCAGTTTTTCCCAATACCCATTTTTGTCTCACTCTCATGCAACAATGGTCTCATGTCACAAACCCATAAGTAATGGGAATATGTGATAAAACCTTCTAAAGACCTCTCAGACCACAGCATTACGATATGTAGGGGAGAGGCAGATTAATTACTTTAACCCTTATTTTCACATTGACATAAATGTGATATATTTTGCTTACCAGGGAAGTAAAGTGATGAACGAAGGCTAAACATAAAGATGATCATAGCCTCTTGTGAACAAGAGAGTAGTTGCAGGGTTCGTTAAGGTCTCTAAGGAAAAATGCAAATGGAAAGTATTTACAGAATATTTTTAAAAAATAAGAGAAAATCTGCTATTTTTTTCGAGACAATTGTCTGTTTTTGCATCAAACGCCTGCTTTTAGATGTAGAAGGTCCATTAGAAAGATTGGCATGTCGAAATTGTCAAATTTATTTATATTTGCACAGACAGCGTATTGATTTCTTTATTTCATACATACTCCAAAATGAATTGTCACTGCCACTCGGACGGTACCCTGTAAAAAAGGTTCTAATATGCACTATTTAGGTACTATTCACTTTTGGTACCATTGTGGTATAGTTTACTAATATGCACTTTAAGGTGTAGCCTACCACTGACAGCTTTTGTTCCTTTTTTTTCTTTTTCTATATTTTCCTAAATATTTTTTTCCCAGGAATCAACCAGTGCTTTGCACTTGATTAATCTATGTGCATATGTTAATTATAACAGACACATTTTTGTATAACCATTAAATTAGGTTTATTTTTATAATTTCATGTTAATAATAGAGCATTATTAGAGAGCTTATTATTGGGCAAAACTTAAGGAAAAAAATAGCCTTTAAAGTTTAAACCCATTTGCCTCAGTGGCTCAGAGGACATTGCATTGCTTATGTTTCTGTAAATTCATTTAATCTGGAATGTTAAGCTTTTCCGAAGGATTTGAGGCCTAACATCATCTAGTGAACATGCAAAAAACACACATCAGTTAATTAGTTTTTATTCATTTTGCTTACGGTAACTGCAATTAATTGCATGTATTAATCTGTGTATTTATAATATTTAGTTTAGTTTATTTAGGTTTAGCCTACTTGCAAACATTCTGAGTCCGAGCAGTACAGAGCATGGCCGCCAGGGGGCGCAATGAACCTGCCACAACAGTCCCCTTCTATTTGCAGGGAATGTTTGCTAAAACACACCGGCCAGATTAAAACACTATTAAAAGGCTACTGATGTAACCATCTTAAGTTTGAGAATAACTGCTTGTTAATGGGTAGAAAATTGGATTCCATGATAGAATGCTTAGGAGCATATCAAATCACATGTTGAGTTACAGTGTTTTTTGTAAGGTTAATACAGACTATACGTGCTAGTGCCCAAGATAAAGTGGTTGTCTTTAAAGGCCTGTTTAACATGTTATGTAAGAGCTTGCGGTTGTTTGAGTGGATTGGAATAAGAGGCTAGAGTAGTCATGTGTGCGTGCATTGGTTCAGGTGCTGCCGGATCGGATCTGTAATAGGATCATACTTGATAATCAACAGGGTTTCCCTCATTCAGCATGTTACTGCATTGTGAGTCCACAGTTCTTTGGAATAAAGAGAACCTTTGTTATTTGGTGGTTAAAAAAAACTTCCAAACATTGCAAGTTTTTTTGACTATTAGATACTGATTGATTGAAAGTGACACTCCATAGAAACTGCACAATCATTCCGTAAACCCTGCGTAAAATGTCTAATCAAGCTCACAGCAATTAATTGTCACAGTGGACTTTTAGATTTTGCCTTAAACAGAAGTATTCTCAATATTGTTCTATAAAAGGTTGAATCAGAAGGATTTAGTTATAATAGTTGCGATCCAACTTAAATATTGCTTTATAGTTTAACTAAAAAGTTGTTCCTCTTCCCTTACAGCAGTTGACACTTAATCTGTTGATGTCTGTGGGGACTGCTGTGATTGGCTCCTTGCAGTTTGGCTACAACACAGGAGTCATCAATGCCCCTCAGAAGGTGAACACTTATACCGACATGACATATGTCACATAAGCACTTGTATATCTGCATAATATGGCGATTTTAATAAATGGAAAGATTGTTTTCTCTGTATTCATTGTGGTATTGTTGATGGTTGCATGTTAGTGTTATTATGTAATCCATCTAAATTTAGATTAGCTGTAGATATGCTGTATTAACCCTCCTTCTAGAATAGCCTATTAAAATGTGCTGATTCACACGTGCAGAGCGTTCTAATAATGGACAAGCACTGCTGAGATTCTTATAATGACACTTTTTCACCATGAATAATGACTGAGTAAGTGACATTGAACCCTTTATGGGTCACATTACCTTAGGGTTCTGAATAAATCCCATATACTTGAGAGAATCCTATATATAGAGTGGGAAATCATGTGCCATAGGTTACATTAGTCTTTTAACAGGATAAAGAGAGAAAGTCAAAAGTCAAGGAGATGGTAAGGACGTCATCATTACTGTGACGTGGATCTTAAGATTATTAAGTAAATTGTTGGTTATTATTTTTTTGACCATTCAAAAGTTTGGAGTCAACATGCTTGCTCACCAAGGCTACAAATATCAAAAATACAATAAAGCAATTATGAGATATTACAATTTTAAAATATTTTTTTTTAATTTAATTGCGATTTATTGTAATTTATTTATGTCATGACAAAGCTGAATTTTAGCAGCCATAGCCTACTCCAGTCTTTAGTGTCACTTAAGAAATCAATGTTGAAAAATTAATGTTTACTTTTTGTCAATTTAATGCATCACTGCTGAATAAATCTTGCTGACCTCAAACTTTTGAAGATTACTGTTCATGTTCAACTTTGTGAGTGAATAGATTTTCTTGCATTTTTTTTAATCATTTTAATTCATTTAACCTCCTCCACTCTGATCGCCCGTGGGCGGGCAACAGAGCTACGTCATTATATTTAAACTTATTTTTTTTGTGTTTCTGGAGATGCTATCACCCCATATATAGTATCATTTTAAATCTTAAAATCTCATCTTTACACAGAATACAATGATATTTGTGTATATGGAAAAAATAATTAATATATAAAGCTTTAAGAAGAAAGTAAGTCACAATAATAAGCCAGGGCTTGTTTATGTTTGTTGATGATCAGCTTCTTATGCAATCTTTCTGACTCAGCAATCAGTATGAAGTAACACTGCTCCCTCTGCTGACTGCAATATAGAACTGCTGGAGCAAAATAATGACTTGACTGAAGTTACAAAGCCATACAAACATAAATTATTTGAGGTATCAAATGAACACTCTCTCTAATAATTCTCATACCCAAGGAGTAATGTTTTATTTTCTCTCTCTCATAGATCATCGAAATCTTCTACAATGAGACATGGCAACGTAGATATTCAGAGCCCATACCGCCAACCACTTTAACTACGCTCTGGTCGGTATCAGTGGCCATTTTCTCTGTAGGTGGCATTTTTGGCTCCTTCTCGGTGGGCCTCTTTTTAAACCGCTTTGGCAGGTAACTTGACTATGCAATCAGAACTTTACAAACACTCCACTTGTATTCTGGATTTGGGTGTCTTTAAACTTTCTCTTTCTAATCTGTTAACAGGAGGAACTCAATGCTCATGGTTAATGTTTTGGCCTTCATATCTGCTGCTTTAATGGGCTTTTCCAAGCTGGCTGCATCCTGGGAAATGCTTATTATTGGACGCTTCATCATCGGTCTTTACTCTGGCCTGTCCACAGGCTTTGTACCAATGTATGTAGGGGAAATCGCCCCAACTTCATTACGTGGGGCGCTTGGTACACTTCATCAGCTTGGTATTGTTACAGGCATCCTCATGGCACAGGTTAAATAAAGTGTTTTCTTTATTTTGAGACCACCTTTAGCTATCATTAAGCCTTTCTGATTGTAGATTTTTTTTTTTTCTATAGATCTTTGGTATTAAAGAAATCATGGGGACTTCAACAATGTGGCCCTTCCTACTTGGCTTTACTTTCATCCCAGCCTTACTGCAGTGTGCCATACTGCCCTTCTGCCCCGAGAGCCCACGCTTCCTCCTCATCAACCAGAAAGAGGAGGCCAAAGCTAAGACTGGTGAGTTTTTTAGGTCGCACTTAAGATGCTGTCTAGGGTGTTTGCATAAAGAAGTCGCCCTAACTAACTCATTTCCACAGTGCTGAAGAAGCTGCGTGGCACTGATGATGTGGAAGAAGACATGCAGGAGATGAGGGAAGAGAGCAGGCAGATGATGAGGGAGAAGAAGGTCACCATCCCTGAGCTGTTCCGCTCATCGCTCTACCGCCAGCCCATCTTCATTGCCATCATGCTGCAGCTCTCCCAGCAGCTCTCCGGTATCAATGCTGTACGTTTTCCTGTTTACTTCCTTATCTAATATTTATCTGTCAATCGAATCCATCCATCCATCCTTCCACCTTTCATTCAAATTCTATTGCTTTTTAAATTAGAAATACATAGTATTTATTTAAAGGTAAATAAAACAAACATTTATTTTTTATTAATATCATTATTATCAGGGCTTGACATTAATTTCTTTGCTCACCACACCAGCTAGTGGTTTTCCATAGTTACCAGCCGCTCACTGGCACCATTTGCACACCTGTAGCAGTGGATGACTATTATTCTGTTGCGCGGAACTGGGGAACAACTGATGATGGCACTGTTTGATGTTTGGTTGACCAATCGGTGGAAAGGGGCGTTTAATTCCCGCGCATATAGAGATATAATATTCAAGCTGTTTATCCATTTTGGTTTTACTGTGTTTCCATTTGGTGATCCAAATTAAGATGCTTTTAATGAAACCCGAGAGGTTTCTGTTCCTCCATTGAAAGTCCCGGTGTTCCACAACTTTCAAAAAGGTCTAAAAAAGGTCATAAAGGGCACCTTAAAAAAATGAATCCATATGAACTGATTGGTTTAACCCTTTCACACATAGTGGGCAGCTATTTAAAAAGCATTTTCTTAAATTTGTAAGGGTTGAGTAATATCTGTAGCTGCCATTTCATAAACAGTGATTCGAATGTTCAGTGAATGTAATTGTGTTTTTCAGGTTTTTTATTACTCTACCGCTATATTTGAGAAAGCAGGGGTGTCTGAGCCAGTCTATGCTACCATTGGTGCTGGAGTTGTGAACACAGCATTCACAGTGGTGTCGGTAAGTTAGTAAGAGCATATTTATTCTGAATTTGTCCTTTGTTTCAGACCGGTAATCCGGTAAATGCTTGTATCCCCCTCTGATTTAGCTGTTCATAGTGGAGCGAACTGGCCGAAGATCACTCCATCTTGTTGGGCTGATGGGAATGGCTGCGTCTTCTGTTCTCATGACCATAGCTATGGCGCTACTAGTATGTATATGATTACACTGATTTTTGGCCGTAAACTTTAATGTTTAATGCTGTTTATTCACTGATCGTCCTTCTCAGGAAGAAGTGAAATGGATGTCGTACGTCAGCATTGTAGCCATCTTCAGTTTTGTGGCATTTTTCGAGATCGGACCAGGCCCGATCCCATGGTTCATTGTGGCAGAACTTTTCAGTCAAGGCCCCAGGCCCTCTGCCATCGCTGTCGCTGGTTTCTCCAACTGGTTTGCCAACTTCTTGGTGGGAATGTCCTTCCAGTATATTGCGGTATGTAAACATGAACACAAGTAATATTCTTTCTTTTCTTGTCGTCCTCACATGTTCAAATACTCCCTGTTTGTTCCCTTTACAGGAACTGACTGGCCCGTATGTTTTCATCATCTTCACTGTCCTCCTGCTGATATTCTTCGTCTTCACCTACTTCAAAGTTCCTGAGACCAAAGGCCGATCATTTGACGAGATCTCAGCAGGCTTTCGCTCAGGGGCAGAGAAGTACACCCGAGATGATCTGAATACACTGGGAGCAGACTCACAGCTCTGAGCTCTGCGTCATGTTTATACAGTACTAAACGAACCAAGTGACTGTCCTGTTCACAATGGCAAACTACGCTATTACTCCTACTAGGAATGCAGTAGGTTGTTAAGTGTTTACTTTACATATTTTTCCAATTGCATTGAATACCCTGCTGAGTTTTGCCCTCAGTTTTGCTTGAGAACGTCATGGCCAGCCCTATACCAGCTCTAACCAGCATAAACAGGTCTGGATCAACTTGAAATTCATGCTGGTTTATGCTGGATTGTTCAGCAGGGTACTCAACTGACTTGCCAAACTGTGCAATTATTTGACCAGCACACACTACTTCTAAATATTTACTCATTATTTCACTGGACTGACAAAAGAGTGAATATTTATATACAAAGTTATATTAAATATTGCAAAATAACCATATTTATTTCTGAGATCGTAACCAGACACCTTTCTCTAATGTAAAACAACCAACAATGTAACAACTGTGTACCTGTCTACAGTTTAAAAAAAAAAATATTTGTAGCATACAATCTTTCCACACATTTACATATTTTTAGATACTGTACTATTATTTTTCACATACCATATTTTAAAAATAATATGCTGTATAAGTATGGTGTAGCATGCAGTATTTTAGTATTACACTTCAGATACAGGAGCACAGTGGCTATAGTGGCTAAACTGCAATGTCTTTTTTTTCTCACACCTTAACCTTCACTTTTCTGAAATGGTGAATAGCATCTAAATCTAAATAATAATCAGAATTTCTGTAAGTTCACATGTATATGAATAAGGTTATTGTACTTGTGATCTACTAGATGATTTGAATGATTTTATTTGCACAATTTAACTTAAAGATGTATTTTTTCTTAGACTTTTAACTGTTTTAACGATTCTTTGCTATTGTCTAGTTAACACATGATGACTTCTGACATGTCTGCTGATGTTATATCAATCATAATTATGTTAGAATTGCATATTGCAACATAATGGTGTCAGATTTTGATACATGTTTATTAATACTTGAACTGTAGCTTTACCAAGGAGTGTCAAGATACTAACACAAGGAATAGGCTACAAACGCAAAACAATTATTGCACTCCTGCTTTTCAAACGTGTGGATTTGGTCTCCAATACTCTGAGGTTTTATGCACATGCTAGGCATTATGAAATGAAACAGGCTTCTAAAATTTCTTATGTACAAAATATGTGTTTTTATGTATAAAGTTATATGTGCTACATTCATCCAGAGGATGTAAATAAGTTCAGGTTTACTAAAGCATTTTGTAATAGATATGCTTTTTAACTTCCTAAAAGATGAGATATGGTTTTGTTCAATATGTCATAGAAATTGCATTAGAAATCCAACACAAGTGCCAAGACATGTCCTTGCTGGGTATCCTACATTTTCTAAATAATAGAATTTTAGTTGGAAATAAATCAAATAAACAAAACTGCAACAGAGAATTAAATGTTCTTATTTTATTTATTTTTTTAGTCTCTGTTTAGATCATTGCTTAGTAATGTTTAAATAAATTAAAGGTGTTTAAAATAAATAAAATTCATAAATAAATCCACAATTATTCCCAACACCAGAAGATGGCAGTATTTCTCTTTGTGATTGTACAATACTTTCTGGGCGGTATACAAGTCCAAATAGTTTTGGTTACCCAAAACAACAAAAAGGAGATTTGCCAATATATCTTATTTTATGTTCAACAGAATTTTTTTTTTTTTTTAGGAAAGTCATGGCACATCATGAGGATGAGTAAAGGGTTGAACTATCCATGAAAGTTAAGTCCCCATGAAATGTAAGTTTTTTGTGTTTTAGTATGTTAGCCTTAAAGATAGCCTACAATATGCTGGATATTTGCTGTAAAATATCCAAAAATCCACTAAGACAATGTTATATATTTTGTTTAGTTGATTACTTATAATTTCCCAAATGTTTCTAACTATTTGTAAATCGTGATAAAATAACGATTTTAACCAAAGAAACAGGGCGTGTGAGAAGTCTCCAGTCAATGGCGTCATATGGTTTCCGCCAGGTTTGACCATGGGTTTGATCAGTTTGACCTCGTATGCTCGCTCGTTATGCTGTTGTTGTTGTTTTGTTCAAACATATGGAACATGGCAAGCAGACTTTGAGACAAAAAGAGGACTAAAACGAAGATCAACATCTTTCAAGATGCCGAGAGCTCCATGTTCGCAAATAACTTGCAGAGACGCACTTGCATGTTATTAAACAGGTAAGCAAATGTTGAGCATGGTGAGCAAACATGATGAAAAATTAGAATATGATCTGCATTTTATTCTCTAATGTTAATCAGGCTTAGTCTCATATACAGCCAACAAACAACCTAACTAACAACATTCAACTCAACACACTCAAATGCCTTTTAGTTGTTAGAGCAAGTGAAGCAGTGCTCATTCTCCTTTTCCGCTTTCTCCTCTTTTTTAAGTACAAAACAACCACAATTGCCAGTGTCCTATTCAACTTGCTCTATTTGTTTACCACTAGCACATACTGATGAAGTTTTATTCTTCTAAACTAACTTGATTCAAAAGTTTATTATATCTATGTCGTATAGTGTGTTTTGTAATGATCTTATAGAATTGCCGTAGCAGATAATATTCACGCATATTCTAACGTTTTAATCACAAAAGTTTATTAGTTAAAGTTCACTAAATGTGTATTCACAAACAGAAATCGCTCTTTCGCTAACTGACGCTCTATAGACACAAAGAGCAGTATTGTTGTTGTTTTTAATGATTAAATAGATTTACTGATCACACATATAAAAATTGTATAAAGAGTATGTGATACCACAAAATGCCTAATAAATGCCTAACGTATGGCACTAATGTGAGAAATATTTGGCAGTGATGATAATTAATTTTCTACAGCTGTTTGTGTTAATGTATTGCCCATAATACGGGAAACCATTTCAATAGAAGTCATCCATCTTAATTTGTTCACTGTGATGGAAAAAAAAAAGTGCATTTAGACCTAGATAGTGACAGTTTAGTGGTCCAGTCTGTCGATTGCTAGCAAAATCCTCTTAACGTAGTTAATGGACAGAGCCAGAGTCATAATGATCAACATTATGACAGCACCACGGGTGGCTTGTGGTTTTGTCATAAAGCAACAGATTGCAGCATCCTGTCAGAATAAATTATGGGTTTTCATGTAATTTAAGTGGCAACAAAAATACTGTAGAACTCAACATCATCTTTAACATTTAGGCAACAGTTACCTATGTACAATGAATTTCCTTATAGGATTAAAATTCAATGAGAGACAGCAACACTACTGTCAATTCCATATCATATTAAAGGGGCACTTGGCAACTATTTCAACTTAATAAAACCGTTTAGAAATCATTTGAATCAATAACCTGTTCTGGAGAGCATCCCCAGGTGAAAAAACACAAATAATTCTATGATACTGTGTATGATGTATTACCCATTTGGTAGACACAGGTCCACACGATAGATTTGGTCGGCTCCGATAATAACAGAAGTACATGAGCAGCGGTAGAAAGCGGGACGAAGGCACCGCAAGGGAGTTTCTTTATGACAGTGTTGTGAAATATAGCTATGCCGCACAGCTGTATGAGAACACATGCCACAACAAAAGTGGAAATCAGCGAAGATAAAACTAGAGTTGCCAAGTGCCCCTTTAAAAACTAAACAAAGCATAAAAATGCAGACGCTGCAGCTGGAATGCTGACTGTGTGGGCATAACCTAAATAGATTTTTCAAAATTAAAAAAAAAAGGGGGAAGAAGAAATCCATTAATTTGTATGTGCAGTCATGCAGACACAGTCTGCTGAAGAGATTATTAATTGCTTTCTCTCTTCAGCTCCTGTTCTCATCAGCTCCCCTCTGATTTCACATCACAGAGTCATAGCCAAACTCCCACCACATTACAATTTCATAGCACTGGAAAATATCTTCTCAACCCTTTTTAAGATTAAAGAGTAACAAACAAGCAAAATCCTCTAATTTACCTTAAGTAAAGCCTATGCCTTGAGGCAGAACTACACTCTTAAGTAAAATGGTTCTAAACAGTACCAAATTAGGGTTCTTTGGTTTGTAACAATTGCATAACCCTTTTTGGTGCTAAAAATAACCCTTTCTATTAGGTCCCATGAAGAATCATGTTTTGAAAATGCTCATTATTATCATTATTTAAAAAAAAAAAACAATGGATCATAAATTCCATATCTCTGTTACTGTGAGTATCCTTAACCGAACAGAGCTGTTAAACTAAAAGAGAAAAATACATGATTGTTAGGAAATGATTGGTACAATTTTTAAAGTTATAATTTATAGACATTTTTAAGAAAGAAATCGTTTACTTGTTGAGAGTATGTTGACAGTCTGTGTAGTAACTGTAGTTGTAACTGAGCTCCAGAAAATCACAGAGCCCTAAACTCTAACACAATCAATGAACCATTTCATCAAATAAAGGGTTCTTCGGGACGATACGGTACTAAATAGAACTGTTACTACGTGTAAAGAACCTTTAAAGAACCATATTTTTTTAGAGTGTAGGCCACAGAACGCTTGGCGATGTGTATAATAAATCTAGTGAAAGAGTTGCGGAATGACTTCTCTTCACAGTCCGCTAATTAAATTTGTTCTTTAGTTGGATGTAGAGCTAGATACACACTCCTAGTTTTAATGAGAGCCTGATCTTTTTACCCTCTATGCTCCTCACAGGATGTATCCTATGATTCACAGACCATACAACCCAAGAGACAACATGGAGTCTATATTGCACGCATTGTGCTTTATACTACAGCATTTTCTCAATTTTCTTACTTTAAAGGGGACCTATTGTGCCCCTTTTTACAAGATCTAATATAAGTGTCACCAGAATGTGTCTGTGAAGTTTTAGCTCAAAATACCCCACAGATCACTTATTATAACATGTTTTTTAAATGCCTTTTTGAGGGGAAGGAAAAAACATATTGTTTTCGTGAATATATCTTAATAAATAAAGGCAAATGAGTTGACCCATTAATCATAAACAGCACTGTTTTAGAACATGCGTTCTCAGTTCCAGGGCAATGTGACGTACTTTTGTAAAGGCCCCGCCCATGACTGCTGACTGACACTGCAGTTTTAGCATAGACCCGCCCTGAGTGAGCTGTACACACAGTCCAACAATAGGCTTGTTTGAGATGTGTGTTTGAGATTAGGTGAATGCAGTGAGGGGAGGAGTCAAAAAATGCGCAGGCAAGCCGGACAGATCTCGCTTCTCGCACGTTCTCCCAGTGGATCAGACACTTGTGAGATCAAAGGCCGATATCGCAGGATTCACGCCCGTGCACAGTGTTGCTAATAAACTGGATGTAATTTAAATTTTGTTGCTTTTATATGAAAATAAATATAATGGACACCCAAAGTACTTATTTAATTGCATTTTAAATAGGTTTATCAATAATTTTTTCTTTAATACAGACATTTTTTTTATTAATAAAAACACATCACATAGATCACAGAGTTTGGGAATATCCACAATTTTAAAAGAGAACAATACATCACGGTTGTAAAAACCAACGTGTCATTCCTGACACTGGACGCCAGCTTGTGAGGTTTGTATCTGCTTTTAATTTGCATTTAAAGGGATACACACTAATCTGTGTATATATCTTGGGTATTTTGAACTAAAACTTCACATACACACTCTGAGGACATTAGAGACCTATACTCACCTAAAGAATTATTAGGAACACGCAATGCATTTATCTAATCAACCAATCACATTGCTTCAATGCATTTAGGGGTGTGGTCCTGGTCAAGACAATCCCCTGAACTCCAAACTGAATGTCAGAATGGGAAAGAAAGGTGATTTAAGCAATGTTGAGCGTGGCATGGTTGTTGGTGCCAGACGGGCTGGTCTGAGTATTTCACAATCTGTTACTGGGAGTTTTACGCACAACCGTTTCTAGGCTTTACAAAGAATAGCGTGAAAAGGGAAAAAAACATCCAGTAGCCGGCAGTCATGTGTGCGAAAATGCCTTGTTGATGCTAGAGGTCAGAGGAGAATGGGCCGACTAATTCAAGCTGATAGAAGAGCAACTTTGACTGAAATAACCACTCGTTACAACCGAGATATTCAGCAAAGCATTTGTGAAGCCACAACACGCACAACCTTGAGACGGATGGACTACAACAGCAGAAGACCCCACTGGGTACCACTCATCTCCACTACAAATAGGAAAAAGAGGCTGCAATTTGCAAGAGCTCACCAAAATTGGACAGTTGAAGACTGGAAAAATATTGCCTGGTCTGATGGGTCTCGATTTCTGTTGAGACATTCAGAGGGTAGAGTCAGAATTTGGTGTAAACAGAATGAGAACATGGATCCATCATGCCTTGTTACCACTGTGCAGGCTGGTGGTGGTGTTTTATCTTGGCGCACTTTAGACCCCTTAGTGCCAATTGGGCATTGTTTCCTGAGCATTGTTTCTGACCATGTCCATCCCTTTAAGGCCACCATGTACCCATCCTCTGATACTTCCAGCAGGATAATGCACCATGTCACAAAGCTTGAATCATTTCAAAATTGGTTTCTT